AAAGAAAAGTGGATTAAAAGATAATTTGCCGCCAGCAGCGACTGACTCTGCGACCTTTGAATAACGCGTTCGATGCTTTACTCCTGATCTATGGTGGCGGCCATCCCTTCAGCCACTATGTAGGGTGTTCATGGTTGTCATTCTAAGACACGCCTAATTCAGTCAAGGGGCCAATGGAATAAAAAAAAACTTGAGAAGCAGCAAAGATGCATCAGAGTAGAGTTACTGTTGAAGTATTATTGACTTCAATAATGTCTAAAATTATGATAATAATACCTGGCAGTTAACGTCCCTAAACCACAATGAGGTACTATAGTGGAGGGCTCCAGAAATTGTAACCATCTGGCGTTCTTTAACGTGTACCTACAAGGCACAGTACATGGGCCTCTACCATTTTGCCTCCATCTAAATGGGACCGCCGTGGCCAGCATCAAACCTGCGACCATCGGATAAGCAGCCGAACACCATAACTGCTATACCAGCATGGCTGAAAATGTTAAAAGTTATAGCCGCCAGTTAAGAGGTAGATATTAATGAGGGCACCTATCACATAAGTTATGTTACTGAAATGAGGAATAGTAGTGGGCCTGCCACACTGCTTTTTGGCATGGCAGTGATTAGTGGAAAAAAAAAGCCTCACTACCACTACTCAGTTATTGTGCACTGCTGTCAACCGGCTAAGTGGGTGGAAATTGAGCATAGGATAAAGCTAGGGAGCCCTAATTTGGAAATTACTTTGTCGAGAAGAGCTACATCATAGGCCTGTCCAAACCCAAAAATACTGCACTCAGCCAACATGGTCAAGAATAGAAGCAAGAGAATGGATATACTTTATTGGGTGACCGTGGAGAAGGACAATAAATGCAGATCACAGCAGGAGTGGGTCAGGAGAAGATGATCTGGAAGTGGCAATTAGATTGCTACTGTGGATAATGTTTGCTATCGATTCATCCCAACTGATAAATATGATACAAAATATGATACATTCAATGCTATTGCTACCCCGCCTAAAGTTCTAATGTCGCTCTTCTTCAAGACTCAACTCTGCCACACTGTTCTGCAGTAAGCAATTAAAAGAGTCTAAAAAAAAAGAAGAGCTCATTCAGGAGAACTTGCTTTGAAAGGGTCACTGGTGCTCATGCTCACACAAGTGTCTTTCGAGGTAGTCCTGGCACCCAAATGTTTCAGGGCATAAAGGGCACTGGTATGGCTGATCACCCAAGTGAGTGCGCAAGTGAGAGACCAATGTGAATGAGTCTGTGAAGGCCTGGTGGCACAAGTGGCACTTCTACAGTTGGTTGCTGGGATGGAGGCGCTGGTGTCTCTTCAATGCAGACACTTGCGTGAAGCACTGTGGGCACAGGAGGCACTGATACGGTCGTTCGCCCGTGTGAACCCTGAAGTGTTTGTTCAGATCTGATGATTGATAGGTTTCATAGTCGCAGTATGCACAGCGGTGGCGACCAACATTGCGTGCTGAAGCGTTGGTTTTTAGTTTTTTGCATTTACCACTTTCAAAAGGCAGACAATGTAGACATAATCAGGATATTAGAAAGAAAGGAAATGAGAATTTTTAAATTCTATTAGTTATTAGTTATAAAACACGCTTGATGTAATTAGTATAGATATTTTTCATCATACCATGACAAATTTCCTTTCATATCTTCAGTGATGACAGCTAAATGATGCACCAAAGACGACCAATAGAACAAGAAAATGAAAATATAAGTTTAAAAAGTACTTGGAGGATCAAAGACTATGTTTAGGTAATTTTGATGTTCTTAAGCAGTTGCATCAGCAATGAATAACGTTTGCAGTACATAAGTATTGAAGTGCGCTCAATTGCCCACACTAAAGGCCTAAACAACAATAGTGCAATATGAGCCCAACAGGTAAGGATCAAATCATAATGTGCACAAACAAACCACTAAAATGATTAGTTGTTCAAAGGCAAGGTGATTACAAGCTACAGTCGTTACGTTGTGTTGTATACTCTTTAAAAAATTCAGACAGCAGAATATGGCACTGTAACATTTTCCACGCAACGGTACCCTTGATATTTGTGGACATGTACCTAGGAAGAGAATGAAGAGCACAAATTATTGATTAGCCACCTTATCAGGCCTATGAACATTGCTAGTATATTTTATGAAGTTCTGAATTGCACTGGAGTTTAGAGCTAGCCATTTATTACATGCTTGTTTGTCTAGCAAGTATTTTCTCCATAAGTCATCAAAGTCTAGTATTTCTCTACACATCATCTTTACACTAACACTGCAACTTTTAAAAGGTTATCTCCTGAAATCTATTTTTAATGTGATGCTACTTATCTAGGCCTGAAAGATTGAGTTCTTTAGCTAATAACAAGGCATCTACAGTCACTATTAAATCAATTTGGTGGTTCTCAGCAGTTGAATTCAACACTTCATGTTCCTTTTCAGGTTCACTGGACACTACCACTGGTTTTACGTGCCCATACTTGGTTGCCGAGTTGTTAATTTACTTGGGATTCATTTGCATGTACTTGCACCGTTAGCTCGTTCATTCATATTTAATTTCTCATTTGAGTCAACTTTAGATGAACTTAAATCCCATTTCTTAACACCTTATCAAACCTGATTATTCATACACCCCGACTGCACCGAGTCCAGTAAGCCTTTCGCCTGCTTGAAGCTTTTCTCACATCGCCCACCGTCGCCTCAAAGAGCTCACTTGCCACTGGATACCATTCGAGTTTATATTGCCTAACGCCAGATTTTCACAGCTCCCAACTTGTTTGCTGCCATAACAGAGTTTGTAGAGCTACTAATGCTATATAATTTACCACAGACTATACATGCTGCTTTTCTTCTTCTTTAAAAGCTCGCCCCGCCGCGGTGGTCTAGTGGCTGAGGTACTCGGCTGCTGACCCGCAGGTCGCGAGATCGAATTCCGGCTGCGGCGGCTGCATTTCCGATGGAGGCAGAAATGTTGTAGGCCCGTGTGCTCAGGTTTGGGTGCACGTTAAAGAACCCCAAGTGGTCGAAATTTCCGGAGCCCTCCACTACGGGGTCTCTCATCATCATAGCGTGCCTTTGGGACCTTAAACCCCACAAATCAATCAATCTTCAAAAGTTCTTTAAAACAAGTATCCCATGTTTTCCAACCTTGGCCGAAAAAGTGAGTATGCATGCCAGAACAAATTTTGCCTTTTGTTTTTTTCACAACATGCTTTATTATAAAAACTGCACAACATTCTATGATGAGGTAATAACAGTCACTAGCTTTAGCAAATATAAACAGTTAACTGTGCCATCATAGAAAAAAGTAATTTGTGAATTGTCTGATGAAGGTCCTTTAAAGGCCAAAATCGAAAGTATCACTTCAACTACAAGAATTTCGCTTTGCTTTGGTAGAACTCAGCCATACAATGATACGCGGTGCCTGACCTCCACGCGTTCGAGCCCATGGTATGTTTGCATGGTCTGCTTGTGCAGACTTTTCTTATCATGACACCTGCTTACAAAGCACATGCCATGAGGCTGTGCACAGCTCAACACAGTAAACCCTGCATGTAAATTTGATCACTGCTTTTATTCAGTTTCTCAGCAACATGTTGCGAATCACACGTTACTGGCCAGTCAGAGCACTTCACATAAGTGGCCTAAACAAGGCAAATAAAAACTAATGATGCAACAAGGCAAGAGTTTTTAAAATCTCACTGTATAAACAAACAATTAGAACACTATTCTTGTGGGATTGATAAAATTGTCGAATAGATCAAATTAAGTAGACTCCCACAAGACAATAAGGTACACCGCTCGTACAAATGACAGCATTCGCCGCTTTGGCAACACATCCCCAAAATGAGCAGAGGGCCATATTTTGAGCATCCAAAAAAGAAACTTAAACAAAAAAGAAATGATCTTTGGCACATCACAACAATGAGATCAAATGCAGGCCCAATCTTTCCAAAAAAAAATCCGTTACTAGCAACATAAAGAAAAAGCACACCTTGCAATGGGAAACTTGTTCATATGCATTATTATAGCGCACTTCATTGCTACGAGGCACAAAATATGATGCCCTGTGTACCAGTGGTAACAAGCTTTATGTCCTGCATATATATCCTGGCTTCTCAATTGATGAAAATTAAGTGGTTACTAACCAGACCAAGCCAGACTTGGTACGTACTGCAGAAGGTACTGCTTTTGGAATGCAGAGAAACTGTAGTGCAACTTGTTGCCACTATTTGAAAAAAAAAAGTTATGCTGATATAGCATTTGAGAGAGGAATTATAATGTCACTGAAAAATAGAGTGACGTCATCACAGTCGGGGTAATCGCATTATGCTGACATCAAGATCCTGATATTGCGATGACAAGGGCTTTCTCAAGAACTAACCCCAAGCAACTAAATCGCACAGAGAGAAGTTTTCCAGTTGACTCGGCCTGGTTGGTGTCATCACTCTGCCACTGCTCACAAGCCATTCACCCTACTGCACAAGTGCGGTTACTACTGGGGTCACGCACACGCAGCTACGATTCTTGAGAACCAAGACAGAGTCACTTTCATTCTCAACTCATTTGTTTTCATAACAGCTGCACATCAAGACTGTCGGCAACTGCACACAGTTTTAGTGCATAAATCTCTGCATGCTACAACAATGCAACCACACAATTTTATTTAAAGAAAGACACACGAACTGTACACATTGATTTATCAATGATTTTAAGGTACCGTAATGTCAACCTAAAGCATTCAGTGCCAAATTGCACTTCTAAAAAAATATCGCCAGAAAATATACAGAAGCTGTGAAATGTGCGAGACTTGAATTAGTATAGGTCAGTATTTAGTGCGTAGAACAACACTAAATTATCACAGCAGCCCATGTCTACAGCCATTAACATAGACGATATGGTAAGGGTGTTTTTAAAAAACGTTTCATATAGAATAAGCATCACCATAAGCAAGGCACCATGGGATGCTTATGACAAGAAACACTACCCTTCGTATTAATTATTTATGCCTTACTAGAAGGGTGTAGTGAAAGTGTGACCAGAACTTTACTCGTTTCTTTGATAAGGGAAACATCAGAACAAGTGTGATAAAAGTGTACTGATGTATTCATTATACAGAATACTGAAGATATAATATACAAACAACAATAAGGTACAGGAGCAGTGGATGACCTTATTGCACTTCAGAACTGTTCTAGAAAGAAAGGGTGTTGCAACGAGAAAATGTTTTCATTTAAAATAGATTATGAGCAGTCAGTTACATGTCCACGCTGGAGACATTATAAAATACATCACAATACAGCTTAACTCATACACAACACAAAATATTTCTTGTACTCCAGCCAAGCAGGACAATTCTAAATGCAAGCAAACAAACATTAAAAAACATAATAGGTTTCCCTTCCACACACATCTCTTATTGCAAAAGAATAGGTAACCGTCTTCATGAATAAAAGCAAAATGACCACGTGATAGATCAAGGACCCAGAACAAGAACACCACTGAACATAACTGACATTCACATCGATTTTTGATTCAGGTACACTTGTGGGATTAATGGTATTGAACGGAGATGTGGTTTCCAGTGGCTTTCACAAAAGACACCCATGTCAATGCTGGCTGATCAGTACAAACACACAATTATCTCCGAGATTAAAAATTATGGCACATTTGGCTGGTCAGTTAAGAAGCCAAAACACAGAACAAGGTTATTCAACATAGTAACCGCACTTGTCTGCATGCACGCCAATACCGTAGCGACATATATGAAGCAATGCTGTTACTACTAGACCAAAACATTTGATATCCTCCACAACTCAGCACTGCCATGGAGCTCTCCAATAATGAGCCAATGGATCCTTTGCCGAAAAATACCCAAACAAGACAGGCTGCTTTAAGATTGTCGCTGATATTCATGCTGACTTTCGTGTTTTTTGAGGTAGTGTTTCTTCCAGAACGTCTCTGGGCACAAAGAGCACGGATACGGTCGCTTGCCCGTATGACCGCGCACGTGACCGTGCAGTACAGACTTCTGCTTGAAGCTCTGGGGGCACAAGTGGCACTCGTACGGTCGCTTGCTGGTGCGGACGTACAGGTGAGTCTTCAATGAGGATGTTTGGGTGAAGCGCTTGGAGCATATGTGGCACTTGTACGGCCGCTCACCAGTGTGAACCCTGATGTGTACCTTCATAGCAGACGATTTGTCAGTTCCATAGTCACAGTGGTCACAGCGGTGGCGGTGCACCTGGCGCAGATTCTTATCGTCTGTAGTCGCTGAATGCGATGTAGTCGATGAGTTCACTGAATTTGTCTGTAGTCGCTGACTTGAGGACTTCAATCCTGCAAAAAAAAAAAAAAAAACGGCTAGGTTACACAGGTATTGCTGTTCACTTAAGAAGATTGATATGTGGGGTTTAACGTCCCAAAACCACCATATGCTTGTGAGAGACGCTGTAGTGGAGGGCTCCGGAACTTTCGACGATTTGGGGTTCTTTAACGTGCACCCAAATCTGAACACACGGGCCTACAGCATTTCTGCCTCCATCAAAAATGAAGCCGCCGCAGCCGAGATTTGATCCCGCGACCTGTGAGTCTGCAGCCGAGTACCTTAGCCACTAGACTACCGCGGTGGGGCTTCACTAAATAAAAGTATGAATTTAAAGGGGTTCTGCAACACTTCTTTAAGTACCCATGAAATGGATTCACTAAAGAAGCTTATTGCCTTACAAATTCACCGCCACTAAATGTTCCAGGATCCATCCAGTAAGAGTGGAGATACAAAAATTTATCGCATGCTCAATCGTATTCCCTCTTCTCTCATCCCGACAAAAGGGCTGGAAGCTAACCAAGGAGGAATGACATGGGGGGAAAAAATGCATAAAATGCACCTCGTGGCTTTGGGCACTTTTTTCTTTTTTTTCTTCGAATGTACAGCTTCTCAGTGCGATTGCGTACACGGGTGGACAAGTCGCAGCCTCCCGCCGCAGGCCCAGTAATGACCAAGCAGGCCAAGCTCAAATCGTCCAATGGCTGATAAGTACCAGGCCTGGGACGTAGTAATTTTGAACCTACAGTGTCCTTTGTTGTGAGAATAGAAAGCGATATTTAGCCAACTCAAAATTTATTGTAAATTCGAGGCCACATGTTGCACTATATTATTCGGCCTGCGTGTTCTCCGGACCCTCGACTGTCGATTGGCAGCGTTTTCTGACTATGCTGAAAAAGTGTTGAAGGGAGCCCGTTAAATTATGCAGTTCCGCACAACAGCACTCAACGCTTACAGCTTATGGCATACTGAAAAAAGTGTAGAATGATTCAAAACTACCTAAGAGTCCTTAGTGCACGCATCTAAATTTTAAACAGTTTTTGCATTTTCCCCTTTTGAGATCTAGAAATTACAGTCAATTATGAAGTGCCACACAAATTTTATGAAAGTTATGCTGATGAATAGAAGTTCCTGAAAGTCTGCTGAAGGCAAAATGAGAAACAACGCGTAGCTGGTAAACCTCAGAGATTACCTCAATGCAATTGCTAGGAGGACCAGGTCAACGACATATAGGTTCATTTTAGCTAACCATACAATAGGTATCCATAAAGTAAGGGCCATATAGCTATAATGAAATATTCTAACTAGTAATACTAGCTGTCGTGGCAGCTCTACTTTCATAAAAACTAATAGCAATGAAGACATATTAATCTAATTTCGATCCATCGCAAAAGAGACGCTTTTCGTTTCCGAGGCACGCATTCTCAACACTCTCTGCACCCCTGTGCCAGCAAACATACATAACATATTTGACGCTTTTGTTGCTCAGCATCTGCAAACTAGCCCTGCCAAAATGCACGTTATCATGATGTCAACACTGTTAACCGAGCTTGCAAACTCTACTCCCTGCATGTACCTGAAATCGCGGTCAGCTTTGCTAAATGACAATTCATCTATCATTGTTAATGTGAACCGTCTCTAGCTGTCACTAATTACATCGCGAGTGGCCTTCTCCGAGTGTTCACTGATGAACCAACAACTAGTGGATACCCAAAACTACTTTAGTTCACATGGAAAAAACCTGAACATGGCCTGGCATGTCTACAACCAAAGGCCAAAGCGAATAAATAATACAAAGAAGACGAAATTCGGGCAGCGTTTGCTAAAAGACAATTTTCATTGATTTTTCTCATTTTCAGTAGTTATATTGTTGTTAAGTAATGCTTGAAATACGTAGATCAGCGAATGCTATGAACTTCACTCTTTAGGAGCACCTTAGCAGAACACAGTAATAACAAAGTAATAACAAAGTAATAACAAAAAGGCACAAAGAAATAGTGATGCTACAACCCATAGAGAGAACAAATAGTACAAGAGAATAACAGAAAAGATGAAATACTGCTGCATAGAAAGAAAACCACAAAAGGGATCAGGCACAAGTATGCAAGACTATTAAGACATGCAACCGCTTGGAAAAAATAATGTTACAATGAAAAAAAAATCTAGGCAGCAGGAGTTCACGATGAAAGGTTTCTCATCAAACACTGACATCAGTCTCTCTTGATATTTGGTGACAAACCTGTGAAGAAAAGAAAGAGGGAGGAAAAATTACGAACAGGCATAAATATTAGGCCTACAATTCTGTATTGCACTTAAATTTCGAGCCAGCTACGTAGTCACAATTACAGTCTTCACGCTAGTAGCTATTTTCGTTTCACAGCACATACCACAGGAATTTCGGTAAACTATAGTTCCTCATCATATCACTTTTGCTTTAACATTACAGCTTATTTAAAAGCTATCTTTTTCAGTACAGGGTCATTCTCATTTTTGCCTAAAACTTAAAAACACTCGAAGGCTTCACACCCAGATCCTGATCTAGCACTGTTTATATACACTTTGATAGAGTTGCAACCATGTGATTTGGACACACTCTGCTTTGTAACGAAATATCGTGTCAGTAAATTTAACAAATTATTTTGTATTCTGTGTACAATGAAGAAAGCAACAGGTTAGCTCAGCAGAATTGTAGCCCACGCAAAAGGAGTAGAATTATTTTTCATGCACCACGAGCAGCACTTACGTGGTACAAAAATAAGAGGTGTTTTCCACTATGCCAATCTAGAAGGCCAACCTGACAAAGACCATGCTAACCTGCTTCCTTTGGTACCTTTTGCAGTGCTATCAGAGGACAGTAGTGTTGCTGTGTATTTTCTAGAACTCACTGAAGCACCACTGATTACCCTGCAATGTACAATGACGAGTGTATAAAGGGCAGACACTTTCTAGACGTGAAACTTACCATTTGACAAGCATTTTTATAGCCATCATTGTGCTTGTGGTGGTATATATGTGCGTATTGGGTGCAGGTTTGCCAACTAATTCATGTTCATGCCTACTAGCACAGGTTGGCCTACTAGCTTTAGACTGCTCTACTTTCACCATCATGCCAATGTAACCAAAAGCCTCCAATATGGGATTGATTAGTCCAATACATGTGTAACGTGATTACATCTGTACAAAGCAACCTGGTAGACATATAAGCAAGCTGTGTACTTTTCGAGCTGTTCTGAGCACTGCTTAAAGCATCGGCATTTATTTTCCCTTTACGCACAGCTCATGTTCATCTCATTGGCCAATGCTAAACAATTTGTTCATGAAAAATCTGAAATTAAAATATTTTTTCAGCTGGTCTCTTTACAAGCACGAAGAAACTATGCTTTAAATGAGATGTGTACATTTAAATGACTTCAATGCTTAAATCTGAGCATTTGTACTGCAAGGATTGGGCCGTGCAATGGAGCCGTGAATGTACGGTAAGCCATTGCTGGCTTATCCGTAGCCACCATTCGTTGACCAACGTTCTCCAGAGGAGTCCAGCTGCCAAAACATGCTTCCACATTTTCTAGTCTAACTCCAATTGCCACTGACATCAGACAACTTCGATGAAATTCATCACACTAAATGTGTGAAGTCTTTCTTTCCTTGAGAGCCCCTTAATACAAAGGCTCTCTGTCTTCAAGTCTTCGTTTGTAAGTTTTCTGTGCATGCTGTAAAAAATCTTGCCTTTTCCAGCACGCTCATGTGGTGGACGTCAAGGGAAGCACAGGGTGTCCCCCTCAGTGGAAGGCCCAGGCCCAGCCACCCCAACTTGCTGGTTTCTGCGAATAAAGTTCAATCCTCACCCCCTCCTGCAACATACCATGTTATCAAAACATTTACCGCCACTCATTATGAAAAATATGACAGCAAATTTTGCTACGAATGAGAAAACTTGTCAATTGTCAGTGCAAAATTTAAGTTTTTGAAAACGCAGATAGACGAAATGAGATACACACAACACAAACACCAATATTACAGTGCTGTAAAATACTAGTTTTACAATAAAACCTGATTTTCCCAAAATTTAATTTTTAAAAAAATTGGATTAAAATTCATTAGCATAGCTGCGATTGCACAGACAAAATAGGCGGAACTGTTTACTAAGTGAAATCAAGCAAAAGTCTGAAAATACAATAAAAAACACCACAAATACAACCAGCACCATTTCTATTGTCATGATAAGTCCCCTAATCGAAAATGTACCAACTGTTGATGCATACAGTATAGAAAATAAACATTAATTCTAGTACCTCTGAGCACCTAAACATCAAAATCTAATGTATATCACATTCTTTAGGGATTTCAATTGTGCCAAAAATTTATAAGAGACATTCCAATTAATTTTATCATTGGAATGCATAACTTATTAGCTCTATCATGAAGCAAATGTGCCCCTGCATGAGCACCTGGAAGATCAAGACAAAGGGTCATGCCGCAATCGCTAGCGAGAATGATTGAGTCTTGCCGACAGTCACTGCAGTGCTAGACCTTATGTCATTAAAGGACTACTGACAAAATCTTGAAGGTGAGACCGACTAGTGGAATAGATTTCTGTGAACACACACATGTCACCTACAAAATATCTGTGACTAGTATTGCCTACAACACGTTTAAAATTAATTTTAAAGTGATCAGTGCCATTTAAGTGCGTACGACATGGAGCCTTGACGATGTAAAGTCCAACTTGGTTACAATTTAAACACGAGTGCGTGTCGGCTGCCATTATCCTTGCACATGCCATCCTGCAGTTGTTAACGTGGTGCTCACGTGTACACGATATGTGTGGCGAGTGTATCACTGCATTGTGTGCACACAAGGCCAGAAGTGTTTAAACAAAAACTACACCGAGTCCCACCCTCTCTAGGTGCTCTCTAAAACCAAAGTTATAACTGGGTGCCATAATAATTCGCCATGTCACTGCTCAAGCAAACGAAGTTTTCCGCTGTGATAAGTCGGTTGCTAGCTAAATATAGCAACTTAAAAACTAAGACAGTCAAATTTTTGTGTCAATTATTCTTTAGCGCTTCGTGGTCCAAAGCCTTTACCGCCCTATCGTCTAGTCTGATATAGAAGTAACAGACTCGGAGCTCAAATAAAATTAGCTTACTTACATTTATATACATGTACTGCAAATATATGCGTGAACTAATTATGAAAAAAATTTGTCCAGCAATGCCCGACCACGAATTGCTAGTGGCCGCGCTGCAGTGTCAGGTGGGCCCGACAACAGACCGTAAAGGGTTAACGGCGACAAACACTGTTGCAATCAGTGAATGTGCTGTGTACAGGCACAAGGTTGGTGAGCAGCACATTGGTTTACACAGTCCAACAGTAAAGAGACTTGCCCTGAACAAACATGCCACATGGTGCAAACACTAAAGCAGCATCACGACATGGTAACAACTGCCATCTTATTGTGATTGTATCAATAATGAGTGAGGGAGTCATAAGAGAAGGCCAGCAAATAAAATAAAAAGTTACAGGAGAAAGCAATACTTCGTTCTCGGAGCAGTCAATGAGTATTATAATGCGACAGAAAGTTTCAACTTGAAACAAGGTCATGAACACATGACGGCAGCACAAAAAACTCTATAATGTACGGTAGGTATTGGATGACAACACATGATGTACACACAGCCAGAGGTTATATGCTGCGCGCTAGCAGTAGAAGGCACCACATCATAAATACAGGTAGTCACTTTTTCTAGCTTACAGCAAATATCTCGTAAATGACAGAAACAATAGCCCCAGTATCAACAAGTGCTATTGTGGCAACTGCACATGAACATGAATAACATTAGCAGCTAAATTGTAGCCTTCAGAACATTATAGAATATTCAGTTCCTGCAGCTGGGACTACACGAATCAGTTTACCCTGACAGTGAATTCTCAACTGACACTTGGGCGACCACCAATGAGTGTATGAGCATCAATATATGTCAAAGAGTCTCCAGCAGCACATTGCCTTTGAGGTGGCTTCGAAAATCGCACAAGGAGCTGGACTCTCAGTTAAAAGCAGTGCAATATGGCCAAAAACACCACAGTTGAAAGCCAACAGGTATGCTGTCTCAAGAGCATCACATATATGTTGCACAAAACACTGCAGCGAACACAAGGACAGAAAGAAACCTAAATGGTTGCATCTGATATATTGTCATCTCCCTTCGGAATTTCCCACATTTGTATAAGTTGAAATGCCACAAGAAGTAACCGTACAATAGCCACTTTCGTATTTTTTGGGTAATACAATATTTCAGAACTCGTAAAAAGGTACTATGCACTTTTTGCTCAATTCTCACAACATAGCTGCACATACAAGAATTATATATCTGTAATCTATTTTACCAAATATTGACCTACAACACTGTCGCAATACAACTCCTGTGCAAAAACAAAAGAAAAAGATAGACACTCATAGAATGCAATCACATTGATGTGAATTCACATATATCTCAAGCTAATGAGCAGTCAATGTCAAAATGCAATTCTAGAGATGAATATTCTCATTGTAAGAAGGCTTACTTGAGTCTGATCAGCACTGCAAATCACAGCTTCCTACAATACTTAATAAAGGAAAATATGGTGCTACGATCGTTGAGTCACCACGAGACTGATGGGTAGTACACGGACTTGCTCAGCCTTTGTGCCGGCGGCTTCAAACACACTTGTGGCTTCGTTTATTGTTGTGCTTTAGAATTTGTTTCAGATAAAACAATGGATCGTTGTGAACTTAATGAGTAGATTTAAATTAGTGAGCCGGCAAAGGTCAAGGTGAAGTGTAACCTCTGCGTTGAATTTAGTCTTGCAACTGAGTGAATGCAGCCACAAGAAACCAAGCAGAGCGAAAAGACAAAGTCTAGACAAATCTTTCTACTACTACCAATAATTGCCATGCTGGCTAAGTGCATGCATTTTAGCTTCCTGTTACAATGGGGACAAGCATTCCCTGTGTGTGCTTATGGGAAACTACGCTGCAATCTACTGGATGTCATAGGCAGGCAATAAGTCTGTCACAAGCTAGGTTGAATGAACTCGTATGAGTGTTGTGAAAGCACTGTTAAAACTGGGCATCCTAAGGTGCAATGAAGTGCAATTCTTATTGAGATTTTGATTTCGTTCTGTCCTCACCAGAATTTTGTGCAAGTGTGACCAAACTACTGTGTTGTTCCATGAGAAATACAAATCTTAAATGAACAACAAATGGCAGGTCAGTGTTCTGATGTGTTTCTAATAAAAGTACCATGAGAAATATTATACAAGATGATGGGAGGCATCAACTGCATTTCAACATTAACTTCAATGAAAGCTCAAGGAGCATGAAAAATACCCCCATTCACACTCAAACTGGTGCCTCAATTTGCACAGCCATCAACTTGCAGTCCTTTGGAAACACCGACTCCTTCCTGTAAGCTCACACACAAGAAAGCACTGAAGTCTTTCTGTGACTCTAGACAAAGAGGTCTTTCACCAGCAAGCATACAAGCACTTTAAAAAAAATAATATGCAACAACCTTTCTCAAGCTCATGACAACGTTTCTTAATACAAAGAAAAGTTCATATATGCAGAAATCTTAAGAAATTAAAAACGACCCATATGTAGTACCCAAGCCAAAAGGAATCCCATACAAGTTTCTCATGAAAGGCGTGCATGAAAAACTTGTATGGGTCCTTGTCAACTTTCGTCAAAGGGATCCAAGAGAGATGTACGAGGCCTTTGCTCTCTGCCAGAGAGCCAAGCAATGTGCGTGCATTTCGCCACTTGATCTGTTAGACAAGAAAATCCACTATTTCACGTCGCGCACATGATTAGAATTGTAACCCAATCTTTTAATGCTTTCCTGTATCTACATATGCTTCGTTTCTTCAATAAAATGTTCACTTGAGAGTCGGTGCCTCTCCTAGTGTCCCGATCCGGGAATGAAATAAATTCTTTGGCAATTGAGACTCTTTCTTTCTGAGAAATCCGTATGGCCTTGAGCTACTACGCTACAAAGAGGTGGTTGTCAGTTCCCCTTTCTTGCTCTTTCCACCTCTTTGTGAGATTCACAGAACCAATTGCCAGTATGCCTACAGTAATCGGCCAACAAAAGGATTTGAAGTTGACCATGTAGAGGAGTGCAGCTAAACATCATGAACCTAACTTTTTTGGAGAGCATATGCTCGTAGCACACATTCTGGTTTGAATGATCGATTAAGAACTCTGCAAGAGGAGGCAATTAAGAAGGATATCTAACGTGGTCAAAGAATTTCATTGCGGGCACCTTGATGCCCTGGCGACAATACTGAAGCAGTGCAAGGACTGCCCCATCATGTGTTCTTTGTAGCCCTACGCAGATCTGGCAATGCTACAAAGCTCCCGAAAATCAGTAAACGTTCTTTACGATAACAACAAAAGAAGGATCCAACAGGACAGTTGTTCTTGAATGGTCACTGACATTCATGCTGACCTTGCTGATGTCTCTTGAGGTGGTCTTTGCACCGGAACTTCTGATGGTATAAAGGGCACTGAAATGGTCGTTTGCCTATATGAGTGAGCAGGTGGCTTTTCAGTGCACCCAACTGTGTGAAGTTCTGGGGGCATAGGTGGCATTTATAATGCCGCTCACCAGTCTGAACCAGAATATGTTTGCTTAGGTTACCTATATAACAAGTGCTATAGTCCACATGTAACACTGGTGGCAGCCCGCTGACGTGGCTTCTTCCCACCATCTGTAGTAGCTGCAATGCTGGCCATCATTGCTGCACAAAGGAAACAAGATAGGTGACTCCATTTAAATTATGGAGTTTTACTAGTCACTATACAGTTATGCCACGTCTAAGTTAAAAAATGTGGGTAAACTTAGACCTACCTAGGGTCCTTATATATACACTTAAATCCAACAAGTGTTTCAGA